CACACACACACTCACACTCTCACACACACACACACACATACTGTACATACATACACACACACACACACATACAGTTAGTTTCAGCTACTCAGCACAAGTAAACAACAGCAGATTAACATTTACCTGAATTTGTTAGATTTGATTAAGACAACAATTACCCCAGAGGAGACAACAGATTGACCACTCACAGAKGCCATGATAAGGCTTCAGGACCATACCGCTTTAACATTACATCCACGCGTTGCCCCTCCCGGCTCCGGTGGCTTGTTGACACTTCCAGTCTGCCCCATATTTTCCGGTCGTGTCTAACAAAGAAAATAAACAACCTTCGCAAAGWTCTCGGACAGCCGTCCTCTACGTAAAAGCTCTCGCCCTTTGATCCAGGCGACCTCAGAGATTTAGCGGGTTAAGCAAAAATCCCAGAAAAATTGAACAACCTTCGTGAATTCAATTTAGCCCGGACGGTCGCACAGTCCTCCTACAGGTCTACCGTGACCTGTAGCCCAAAGCCACTGGAGTCTGAAGGCGTGGAAATAAAAACTAGAATTTCCCATTCAGTGTGCCGAATTAGATATAATTTTGGTATTAATACAATAAAGTTTAGCTTACTATGTTTCTGCTCAGAAAAAAAGGTTCTTTTTTTTCCAGCGTGGAGCCACGGTCCGAGTCCAGACTGTAGGAGTTAGGCTTATGTTAAAATAAGTCTTTCTACATACCTCTCATAACAAGGTTATGAGGAAAGTTTTACCAAGGCATTTTCTCATTACTTTTATATTTTGACTGTGCAAAGTGAGAAGTGACACAATAAGTGAACGTTCAGACGAGTTCAAGTTGATTCATAAAAGACTATGCAATCATTTATTTACACAAATTGAACAGATCATAAGTACACTTGATTGTGGTTATTCCTATAACAAGCTTCAAAGTTAAATGAGATAAAACTCGCGTCCGAATTTTAATTCACATTAAACTCAGATTACTCATATATAGAACTGTAAATGTCAGTTCTGATGTTAACAACCAAACAATTTACTGGCAACTTTTAGCTTAAGTTTTGGCAAATAAAGAATAAAGGAAAGGATGAAAATAAGGTTAGTGTTTCACTACTCTTATTTTGTTAAGTGTGACAACCAGATCAGCACGTCCTCTCTGCGCTGAGATCTCCACATGACACGTCACCTGGAACACGACAGCGTTACCTGTTACTGGCTTCTTAACCAAACCCTGGGTAGACACTGTCTCACCTCCGATCAGTCAAGGAACGTTTTGTTCGGCCCGCTCACTGTTCCTCGGCGAAAAGTGTTATTTTAGGCAACTTACGTCTGCTTGTATCTTCGCCAGAAAGATTCAAGCTGATGCATCCGGTTTTCCTTTCAAAATAAAATTCTCCCCTCGTGAGTTGAAAAACACTTGGAGACTTGAGTCTCGGATGGACAGTCGCTGCGTGCCACTGTCCTGGCCGTTAGATCCCCCTAATTGGCTTATGGGCAAGATCTATGGGCCGAGCTGGTTTCTCCGGGGAGAAACACAGCGTTACTTCCCAGTTCGGCATCCAGGAAGAAGTGTACCGTCACTCAAAGACGTCCGTGTTAGTAATAGAAGCGGACGAACTTTGGTTCCGCCCTCAGGCGTTAGAATGAGTCAGAGAAAAGAGAAAGATAAGACTTTGCTAGCCAGGCGCCAGCGCAAGGTCAACTTCTATGGTTGTTACAACAGAATATGATGACCTCTTCTTTAGCTTTTCTTTCTGGTAGACTCTAAGAGAAATCACTGTAAAACATGTATGATGATTAATTAACATTTCTGTTTAAATAATCAGTCTGAACCTTTTGTTAGTCCAGATAAATGAAAGATTTTCTCAAGA